CACTGGGAGACAGAAGCTCATTGGTTAATTACTTGATTCAAATAAGCAAAGTTCATACTATAATGCAGCAGAGAAAAGCATCAGCAAATGAAAGTCCAGGGAAAGTGGTTACATCAGTCTTTCCACCCAGCTGCTCTCACCATTAGGAAATAGGTAGTCAGATAGTGATAGAGAGATGTGGGAGAATGAGGCTGTAGTATGCCATTTGGCACTACTTCAGAAGTAGTGAGAATTTGGTTCTGTTGCTCTAGCATTAAATTTTCAACTGCCAGTATGTTGCATTACAGCACTTGGCAGTTTTTGTAGGGTAGGGAATCGGAACTTTCCAGATATTGACAAACTATAATTTCCGGCATCACTTTGTACTGGGTATGCTGTGTATGTGTGTGTTTGTGTATATGTCAGGCTTCCAGATAAACCAGCATGAAAACATGAATTAAATGAACTAACTCTACTTTCTTGTAAGGCTGTATTCATGGCATCTTGCAAATTTGAAAGTACAAATTTCCTGCCATCATTTTTAACTGCTTGTTCCATTAGATTAGGGGGTCCATTAGGGTGGGTCCTTCCTAAGTTTCTTTCTCTAATTGTTAAGCCATTGTGGGCTCCTGCATCTCTTATCTGATCGTTTCCTAGGCAGCATCCCTTCCCTTCTTTTCTCAAGGTCATCCACATATTCCATTATATCTGCCTTCCTGGGTGTTGGATTTCAAATATATCTGGGTCTTCCAGATGATCAGCCTTTTCCCATCTCAAACTTGCTGAATTTAATATAAACAATTCAAGAATCCAATTTAAGCCCAAACAAATTGTTCTGGGTCGTCCCCATATTTCTGCTTTGTTAGGACATCAGGACACTTACAGGCACAAGATATGTTTATATTATTTACAAGTTTAGAACTTGTGGAAAATGCCTGCCAATTAGTGTTTGCCCTTTCTGGCTGTAACCGAGCATAGAGAACTGAGAGCCAATTAGTACTTGCTTGTCAACTAGTAACTGAATGCTTCACCCAGATCTGTACCTAAACATGTTTCTGCTTCTCTTTGCAAAAACAAAAGATGGTAAATCGTCAGTATTTCCCTATATGCCCATGCTGGCAATCTTCAATTACATTCCACACTGTTAAAGACTGGCTTTTTTGAGCTCCTTTAGATAGTCATGCTATCTTCAGTAAGAGCAGACTATGCCTTTGAACATAAGGCAGAAAGACTCTTCAGTGTTTGAAGGTTACTGCATTGAAATAGTATTTCTCTCTTCATGGATGTCACTGGTACAGGGATAGCTCAAAACAGCTTGCAATTGCAAGCCACAGTTGCAACTTCATATGAGGCTAACTCAGAGGTGGGTTTCAGCAGGTTCTGAAGAACCGGTAGCAGAAATTTTGAGTAGTTCGGAGAACCGGTAAATACCACCTCTGACTGGTCCTTCCCCCATCCATTCTCTGCCTCCCAAGTCCCAGCTGATCTGGAGGAAATGGGATTTTACAGTATCCTTCCCCTGGAGTGGGGTGGCAATGGAGATTTTACAGTATCCTTCCCCTGCCATGTCCACCAAGCCATGCCCACCAAGCCATGCCACACCCACCAAGCCACACCCATAGAACTGGTAGTAAAAATTTTTGAAACCCACCACTGGGCAAGCTTATGACACTATACTGTACCTTCAGATGAAACGGGTGTCAAACGTGCGACGACACGTCATCACGTGACATATCACAACTCCCCCCCTTCGCTAAAATGGGGATTGGCGTAGCCAGCGCATGATGCATCTGGCCCATGAGTTTGACATCCCTGATCTGGAAGATCTGCTGTGGAGTCATAGTTTCTCACTCTTGATGTCTGCTTCATCTTTCCTTTTACTTTAGACCAGTGTTTCTCAACAATTTTAAGATGTGTGGGCTTCAACTCCCAGAATTCCACAGCTAAGAAAAAAAGGAAAAAAAATAGCTATTCTGCTTTTGCTTGCTTCTTAAAAAAATTCCTTATACAGGTAGTCCTTGACTTATGACTACAATTGAGCCAAAAATTTCTGTTGCTAAGTGAGACATTTCTTAAGTGAATTTTTCCCATTTTATGACATTTCTTCCCATAGCTGTTAAGTGAATCACTGCAGTGAATCTGGCTTCCCCATTGACTTTGCTTGTGCAAAAGATGATTACATGATTTTTGCACACTGTAACTGTCATAAATATGAGTCAGTGCCTAAAATTTAATCACCTGCCCATGGGGATGCTGCAGCAGTCGTAAGTGTGAAAAACAATCATCAGTCACTTTTTTCAGTGTTGAACACTCACTAAACACTCACTCACTGTTGTAAGTCAAGGACTGTCTGTATTCAAACATGTCCCTACTCTAGCAGAATAAACTTTTGCTTATGGGAAGCAGCATTTATGGAGCAAAATGGAGCAAATACTACCAAGGAGCCTTGGTAGTACAGTGGTCTAAAGCACTCTGTTATTAAGACCAGCTGCCTGCAATTACTGCAGGTTCGAATCTTGCCAGGCTCAAGGTTGACTCAGCCTTCCATCCTTTCTAAGGTAGATAAATTGAGGACCTAGTTGTGGGGGCAATAAGCTGACTTTGTATAAATATACAAAAGGATGAAAACTATTGCTTAGCACATTGTAAGCCGCCCTGAGTCTCCAGAGAAGGGCGGCATATAAATCAAATTTAAAAAAAATTTAAAAAAAATTGCAAAAGCAAGATAAACTGATTTTCTAATAAGACAGAAGTCCTGCTAGTGAGAATCTGCTGTAAATGAGGATAGGAACCCAATAGATTCAGAACATAGGTGAAAGTGTAAGTATACTTTCTAAAACAACCAGATACACACAGTGTTCATCCTCAAATTTTTATGCTTCATAACACTGAGCCGTGGTGGCACAGTGGTTAGAATGTAGTATTGCAGTCTAATTTTGCCCAACTGCCAGCAGTTCGATTCTGAGCGGCTCAAGGTTGACTCAGCCTTCCATCCTTCTAAGGTCAGTAAAGTGAGGACCCAGATTGTTGCAGGAAATATGCTGACTCTGTATATTGCTTAGAGACAGCTATAAAGCACTGTGAAGCAGTATATAAGTCTAAGCGCTTTGCTATTGCTATAGCTATCTTTGTGTTTTTATGATTTTGCTGTTTTTATGTAGAATATAATATAATAGAAGAATAGAATTCTTTATTGGCCAAGTGTGATTGGACACACAAAGAATTTGTCTTTGGTGCATATGCTCTCAGTGTATATAAAAGGAAAAAAAGGGGGAAAAATACCAGTACATATCAAGAATCATAAGATACAACACTTAGTGATAGTTATAGGTTACTAATAAGCAATCAAATCATACTAGAAAACAAACAGAACAATATAAATCGTAAAAATACAAACAACATGGTTATAGTCATAAGTGGGAGGAGATACAATAGGTAATAGGAAGGATGAGAAGAATAATAGTAATACAGTCTTAGTAAATAGTTTGACAGTGTTATGGGAATTAGTTGTTTAGCAGACTGATGGCATTCAGGAAAAAACTGTCCTTGTGTCTAGTTGTTCTGGTGTGCAGTGCCCTATAGTGTCGTTTTGAGGGTAGGAGTTGAAACAGTTTATGTCCAGGATGCGAGGGGTCTGTAGATATTTTCTCAACCCTCTTTTTGACTCATGCAGTAAACAGGTCCTCAATGGAAGGCAGGTTGGTAGTAATTGTTTTTTCTGCAGTTCTAATTATCCATTGAAGTCTGTGTCTGTCTTGTTTGGTTGCAGAGCCAAACCAGGCAGTTATAGAGGTGCAGATGACAGACTCAGTAATTCCTCTGTAGAACTGAATCAGCAGCTCCTTGGGCAGTTTGAGCTTTCTGAGCTGGCACAGAAAGAACATTCTTTGTTGTGCTTTTTTGATGACATTTTCTGATGTTAGGTGTCCATTTTAAGTCTTGAGATACAATAGAACCTAGAAATTTGAAGATCTCTACTGTTGATACTGTGTTGTCTAGTATTGTAAGAGGTGGTAGTATAGGAGGATTTCTCCTAAAATCTACCACATTTCTACTGTTTTGAGTGTGTTTAGTTCAAGATTGTTCCCGTTGCACCACAAGGCTAGTTGTTCAACCTCCTGTCTGTATGCAGATTTGTCGTTGTCTCGAATGAGATCAATCACTGTTGTATCATCTGCAAACTTCAGTATTTTAACAGAGGGATCTTTTGAGATGCAGTGATTGGTGTATAGAGAAAAGAGAAGTGGAGAGAGCACATACCCCTGGGGGGGCTCCTGTGCTAATTACACAGGTATCTAATATGATTTTGCCTAGGTTCACGTGTTGCTTCCTGTCTGTTAGGAAGCTTATGATCCATTTACAAGTACGGTCAAATGTAGTACTCCAACAGCTATAACTGAAAAAGCTCTTATCTTCTGAACCAGGGGTTCTAAGCCCCTGGTCCACAGACTGGTACTAGTCCACAGCCCATTGGGAACTGGGCTGTGCAAGGGTGGGCAAGCATGCGAAACCCCATTTGCAGGAATGCATGCAAAATATCCCTTCCGCCTGCTGCCGCTGGTTCGTGGAACCAGAAATTTGGGACTGCTCTTCTAGATCCTATTCACTGTTTAGCCAACTCACATTGTAAAAAAAAAAAAAAATCATGTAATTTGGTTCTAGAATACTGAAATGTTAATTAATACTCAGCTTTCAAAGATGAGGTTTTGGGCAGTAGTGATGTAAATAAAAGCTCTTTAACTATTATGGTGAATGATGTCATGTCAGTTTGTTGGATTGATTTGATACATACACACACATAATTCACTCTGGGCTCCCGAAAGAGAGAAAGAGAGCAAGGAAAACAAATGATCCTTTCTATACATCTATTTGATTGCATGTGGCAAAATCAATAATTGATAATTATTAATTTTCTTAGTTTAACTTTGACAATTTTCACAACATCTCTTTTTGAAATGGTTTTTCAGTGTTTTGAAATTCATTGCCATGCATGGTAAAACTTGATCTTATTGTTTGTTTAGTTTTACAGAATTTTTGGACCCATTCCAGAGAATTATTCAGCCAGAAGAGATCTGGCTGTATAAAAATCCACTGGTAGAATCTGACAACATACCTACGCGTCTCATGTTTGTAAGTACTAGAATTTAATGATCATTCAGTGGGTGACTGAGACACATTTTATGGCTGGAAAACTATGTTTTTAAAACAACAGATTGATAAGCAGGGAGATGCATTAATGCAATTCCTAACAGTGTGTAGTAAATTTAACACTGTAAAATAATTTGTTTGCATATGGTATGAAAGATGATGACAGCTAGTTAAGCAGTCTTATCACAATTATGTTCGCTTTTTATAAATTGTTGGCCGTATCATGGTTCATAAAGAATTCTGAAGTTAAATCAAATTGAGGTTTTAGAGGCCACTTACTGCTTGCTATCTAACATCTATATATTTTTTTTTTACTCTCTGTTATAGCTGATCTTTTCCTCCTCATCACGATCACATATGCTTAGAAAGGCACCTGCACAGCAGTTAATGACCGGTATAGCTTGAATCTCAGTTCTTTTCCCAGTTCACAAGGCAGCTTGTATAAATCTCATAGCAAACTGTGCCAGAGGGCTTTTCATGGAATCCATGCCATGATGCTGTCTGGCTTTTCTTTGATTTGATAGCAAAACAGTATTACAGTCACTCAGGAAAAATGATGATGCTGGAAAGTCAATTATGGCTGCCTTGGCACAATAGTCAGGCTGGCTAAATAAGGAGTATAAGGACCTCTCTACGTTTAGGATCAGTTGGTCCATATGGAATGCCTAATTGTTTTAGTAGATGCTTTGAACAGATATACAAACTTTTGTTTTTTGTGCTCAGCAAAATGATATACACAAGTCATTTAATTTAAAGTGGTCCCTTTTATATTTCTTACATTTCTGGGGCATAGATAATGCTACAAATGCCTTGAAGTTGGGTGGATGGATGGGTGGGTGGGTGGATGGATAGATGGAAAGAAAGAAAGAAAGAAAAGAAACAAAAAAAGAAAATCTGGACACTTTTGGTGCTTATATCCTATAATTGTACAAAATAGTTATCTGGGAAGAATTCCTGACTCTTCATCTTTCAGTATACACTGAAAACCTGTGATTTTCACCCAAACATTTTAGAGAAGAATAGAGAAACTTGGGTGCTCGATTCCAATACAAACTATTGCTTTTAAAGAGGTGACTAATCAAAAGGTAAACGTTGTAGGATATCTGCATGTTATTCATATTTCAAAGGAGGAAAATTCGGCTTTCTTTCATTTGCTAACAAGGTAGTCTAGTTAAGCACTGATTTTTTTTTTAAAAAAGAAGAAAAACAGCCACAGTTCAGTAGGAAAAAACTATGACTGGCATGAAATATGCTGTCAATGCTGAAGCATATCTAAGTGAAAGACAGCATGTTTCAGCATAACTATTAAATATGATTTATTAGTAGATTTTCTTATAGCAAAAAAAGAACAATTCTGAAATGCCTTTTTGGGATGATTTGCAAGACTTGGTGTCTTTTCAAGAGGCAACTGGGTGAGAGTACATGATGTATTCAATTTTTAGGACAAATAATTGTACACACAAACATTTGTTGCATGTTGTGTTGAAAGACAGTGCCCCCTCTCTACTTTTTACATTAATATGATGCGGTGATAGTACAACTTCATAAGCATGGTATTTTGACTACAGCACTTAATGAATTGTTTCTCCCTTCATGTTGAACTGTCAGAATGTCTGCCTGTCTATTGTCAAAAGTATAACAACAGCAACATTAGCAGCAGCGAAATAGCTGTTAAGAAGAGAATATGAATCTCCAAGGTCATGGAGTTCATTAGACCATTTGTCAAAACTTTGAAGCAAGCCCAGATTGATTTAACATCTAATCAAGATGTTATACAAAGGTGATCAAAAGATGGTTTCTTTTCTATTCTTTCAGTGTCTGGAAGAGTAATTTTATAAAAATATGTGTGCCACTGTTCTTGGCACTGCCAATACAACTTTTTAGCTATGCTCACAAGAGTAGTAGTATATAAGTGTGAGTTCCTGACTCTTCCAGCTTGGACCACACCTGAATCTCCCTTCTCCCTCTTCCCTTCCCTTCCCCTCTGTCTTTTATAATTGTTTTGTTTTTTTAATCTTTTAATTGTTTAAGTTTTAATTTAATTGTAAAACAGCAGAATTTTTGGGTAATCTCTTGGGTAATCTATATATTAAATGAATAAATAAACAAAAAATAAATAAATTATAGCCGTCAGCAGTCTGTCTTTAGAAATTTGTTTTGCTTTGCTTTTTTCATAGTTCTGTTATATTTACCATGTATTTATTGCAAATTTTGGAGCATTTGCAATAAATATAAAAAAAGTTTAACAAACAAACAATAAAGAAAAACTTGTGAAAGTTCATATACATTTTTAATACATTTTTCTTATGATAAACATTTTGTACATAGTTAACTACTTTGTATAAATAACATTCCTTAAGAGTATTATGCCATGAAAAGTTACCTGATACATAGAGTTTTACACTTTATGAAAAGACAAATATTGGTGCCCTGGAAATAATTTTATATTTCAGAAATTAAAACTAATCCAATAAGAATTCACCTGACTGATTTTTGTCTCTGTTCCTTTTCCGTAGGAGACATGGCAACAAATGGGATTATTTTGAATAAGATAATTGTAGTCAGTAAAGAATAAATCTTCGAGTGTTCCTTAAAACAAACTGAGAGGCCTTGTCCTCTATCTAGTTTCCTTTTTATTGTCTTTTTTAGACTGAAAGCTATAACTACAGGTCTGTTGAAAAATCGCATGACCCTGAAAATGTAATTGAGAGGCGCTTCCCATAATCCATCAAAATTATCAAAATGAGCTCTTGTTAGATTGTTCCTCTGGACTGCTTCCTAGCAGAATAATTGCATGCAAAATAGAAAAAAAATGAATTAATAAATAAATATTATATACAGGTAGTCCTCCACTTACAACAGTTGCCTTAGTGACTGTTTGACATTACGATGACAATGAAAAAAATGACTTATGATCATTTTTCACACTTATGACTGTTGCAGCATCCCCATGGTCATGTGATTTACATTCAGACGTTTGACAACTGACTCTCATTTATGACGGTTGCAATGTCCTGGGTCCTGAACCCCTTTTGCAACCTTCTGATGGGCAAAATCAATGGGGAAACCAGATTCACTTAACAACCGTGTTACTAATTTAACAATTGCAGTGATTCACTTAACAAATGTGGCAAGAAAAGTCGTAAATTGAGGCAAAACTCATTTAATGTATTTCTCACTTAACAACATAAATTTTCTTTCTTTTTTTTTCTCTTAAATTGAGGACTAACTGTATTTAAATACCAAGTCATACATCTAGTGCATCATCTAGCATTCAGTTGAGTAGTTAATATACTGCATGAGAAAAGATGATCAGGGGACTGAAGGCTAAAACATATAAAGAATAGTTGCTGGACTTGGGTATGTAATGAAAAAAAGGACTAAGGGTGAGATGATAGTAATGTTCCAATATCTCAGGGGTTGCCATAAAGAAGAAGGAGTCAAGCTATTCTCCATAGCACCTGAGGGCAGGAAAAGAAGCAATGGATGGAAACTAATCAAGGAGAGAAGCAACCTAGAAATAAGGAGACATTTCCTCACAGAACAATTAATCAGTGGAATAATTTGCCTCCAGAAGTTTGAATGCTCCAACACTGGAAGTTTTTAAGAAGAGATTGGACAACCATTTGTCTGAAATGGTATAGGGGGTTGGTTGCTTAGACAGGGGTTGGACTAGAAGACCTCTAAGGTCACTTCCATCTTCTCTTCTCTTCTCTTCTCTTCTCTTCTCTTCTCTTCTCTTCTCTTCTCTTCTCTTCTCTTCTCTTCTCTTCTCTTCTCTTCCCTCCCCTCCCCACCCCTCCCCTCCCCTCCCCTCCCCTCCCTCCCTCCCATCCCATCCCATCCCATCCCATCCCATCCCATCCCATCCTATCCTTCTACTGTTTTCAAAATCATCAACAAAAATGCATTATAACAATTATAACAATATGATGTGGCTATGAATCCTGTTTTAACATATCTGAAAATACAAAGTGGGAATATATTTTACTTGCCACTGAGCAGAGCTTAATAAATATAATTTATTTAGGAAAGACTGGTATTCATCAATTGATTGATTTACAGGTGCATTGGATATACTGTACACAGGCACATTTTAAAACTGACTCAATTGAACACATGTGGACACAGTATATGTCAGTACTTCTCTATCTGTGTGGGTCCTTGTGTTTCATATTATGTGTAGATATCCAGAATCAGGTGAAGCATAATGCTGAAGTTGCATGTACTTACTGCAGAATGATAATGTTCATGTCTAGTAGAGCAAAAGGGGGAGGCTTTCCAAAGAAAGGGAAGCCTTGTTTTCCTCCCCCATTTTTGCAACATAAGTATTGTTCAACCAGATTAAGCCTAACTGGCCTTTTGAAGTTGGCTATGCAATTCATAGCTTGATCCTGCTGCAACTCTGAGACAGTCCTTTCTTTGAAAGCAGCACAAGCAAATTGAAATGATGAATGGTGTCAGTATTCCAGCACTAATGAAGCTTATGAAGCTTGCGGGAGAATCTGTGGAGAACGGCATATTTCATGCCACACAAAGCCCCACGTGTTTCTATTTTACCTGACCTTTCGGTTGTAAATGAGCCTGTTGCCTGGTTGCTGTTGTAAGCTAGAATAGGAATAGGGCCAATTCAGGCAAACACTTTAATTAGAAACCATAATACCTTAATTAAAAAAAAAAAGTGCAAACCCTTGGTTAAAAACACAGCGTATGATTGTTTTGCAAAACTATTTTTAGTTTTGGTTTGTTATAAATGCTTCACTAAGACAGAAAATCTGTCCACAGATATGAACAAGAAGACTTTGTGCCAAGCCTTAGTGTATGACAACTTACGAATATGGATTCGTTCAATGTTTTCATTTTTCAGTAAACATTTTCACGGTTTCTGTTTATGAAGTGAGCTTTTTTTTTTGCTGTGGATTCAAACACATAAGTATACACGTGGAGCTACAGGATTTTGAATCAGATGTATGTCTTCATGCCACATTAAATTTGATATGCCTTATATTTCAAGAACAGCTTTTTAATATGTTCTGTGAACTTTAATAAGAAACTGAGATTCTCTCAGCCCTTGAGGGGGATCGTGCTTGGCTCTTTGGATCTCAGTCTATTCCCCCACCTCCGTGGATTCATTTATTTTTTATCCTAATCCTATTTATTGAAATATTTTCTTAATAAAAGTTGGTATATGTACAAACACTATCACCCCACTATCACAACTAGGAATGCCCTCCTCTTAATCATATTTTGTAGCACTATTCATTCTTAAAGATCGAAGGGAAATCTAGCTTGAAATTTATATAAACTTCCCCAGCTTGCATATCCCAAATCTGTACACTAAAGCAGAGAAATCCACAATGGAATATGACATATTCTCTTATTTTGATATATTTCTCTTACTTTTTTTTTTTTTTAAAAAAGTAGGATCATATAGAAGAAAAAACTATGCAAAATATATACAGTACAGTTTACTAGGATAAATATGCAAGAAAATAGGTGCATACAAAATTCTTGGGGTTCGGAGAAATGATTGTGAAAATGGAATGGTGCTAAACAAATGAAAATGAAAAAAAAATGAAATTAAAAATTGAAAAGAAAATATGGCATTGTATGCAGGTTTAAAGAAGGTTCTTCTACCTAGTGAATAATATATTTCCTAATACTCTATGTCCGTGATGGTGAACCTAAGGCATGCGTGCCACAGGTGGCACGTGGAGCCATATCTGTGGGCACACAAGCGTTGCCCTAGCTCAGCTCTAGCATGCATGCATGTGCCAGCCAGCTGATTTTTGGGCCTTCTGGGCCCCCAGAAGTCGGGAAATCGGCCATTTCCAGCCTTCGGAAGGCCTCCGGGGCATGGGGAAGGCCTCTGGAGCCTGGGGACGGTGAAAAACAGGCCTACTGGGCCCACCGCTAACTTTTTTGCTGTCATGTGCCAAAAGTGGGGGGAGCACGAAGGGTCGCACATGCATGTGCGGGGGCGGGGCATAGGGGATTGAATTATGGGTGTGGGCACACACGTGCTTGACCCCCCGGTTCTCCCCACTTTTGGCACGTGACGGCAAAAAGGTTAGCCATCACTGTGGCAGAGTGTCGCTATGGCCTAGAGGTAAAGCTCTTGTCAAACAATCAAGAGGCTGTGAGTTCAATCCTAGGTAGCGGCAGATATTTTTCTCTCTCTGGGTGCAATGAGTAATTGTCTGCTGTGAACTCCACATAGGCATCAGGAAGGGCATCCGGACAGTTAATGCTCAAGCTCTATTCAGTTGCCCAGACTCCACTCCAATGCAAGGGATTACAAGAAGAGAAAAGAAAAAAAATAGGGTGATGGAAATGTGAATTTAGATTCTTAAATAAGTGGAAGCATTTGTATAAAGTATTAATAGAAAAGCTGTAGTTTTCTTCATAAAACCATTCATGCCAGCATAATGTTACTCTTGCTTGCCTATTTTAAAAGCTTTCTATAGTTGACTCCTGAGGTTTATTGAATGTGAAGGCTGGGTGAGCTGTCATGCCCAATAGCAGGGAGCTACACATGCAACCATATCATGAATCCAGGAAAATTTGGACCATTGAAGTTCTGATATATTTCCCTCAGATAAGATGGGCAACTGTGCATTTTAGCACATTGAGGACCTCCTAGACCATTTTTGTGAATTTTAAAGGAACAATCAGAGACTTGTTTAGGGTAGCAGTCTTAAAAATAGAGGAGGGTAAAAATGAGGCACATATGAGCTGCAGACTCGCACAAGGTGTGTAGAATTCTTTTTAAAATCGAAAGGGGCTGAATTGTGAAGTATAAATTTCTGGAAAAATTTCTCCCCTTCTGGGGAGAAAATGGATTGGACAGAATAGTTTGATTCTGAAAAATCAGAACATTCCGTATGCATATGTTTCATGTGCAAAATATATAGGATATACTAAAGCCATGACTATTTCTGGAAAATCTTTGTCCTGATGTTTTGCAATGTATTACTTCCTCTTCAGAGTTTGGTTTTCATTTTGAAAGCTGATCTTCGTTAAGTTTACAGCTCTATTTTGTTTGTATCAGTTAAGAATTTAGAATTTAAGAATTCAGAATTTAGTCTGTCCTTTCATAATAATAGTAATTAATTATATATTTTTTGTTTTGGGTTCATGCAGCTTTGTTATCACTAATAACAGATGATCAGCCATCTAAATGAAGCAAACTGGAAATTACTATTTCTGATGGAGAGACAGCAGTAACAATTCTGACTGCTGTTTGTCAGAAATGGTGTAGGGTCTCCTGCTTGGGCGGGGGTTGGACTAGATAACCTACAAGGTCCCTCCCAACTCTGTTAATCTGTAATTAATATGTTGTTGTGTCTGTTGTAGGCCATTTCATTTCTGACACCCCTGGCTGTCATTTTTGTGGTGAAAATAATCCGACGCACAGACAAGACTGAAATTAAAGAAGCTTTGCTAGGTATGCCAAGAATAACATTAAATTCTGGTTTAAATGATGGGAAATTGTTTTCTTCCAGAAGTGTTGGGAAATTAAAAAAAAACTTCCTTTCAAAACTTTGGTATCTTTATGGTAAATAATTGAAAAATATTATTATCAACATCATAATCTCTTACGTCCTTCGGTTCCCCTTCCGCTCATTTTTACAGTTACTAGGGTCTTCTCTTTTGCACTGATTCTTCTAAAATTGTCACAATGTATTGATAGAGTAATATGCAAACAATATGTTCTATAGAAATCAACTAAAGACCTCCTTCCCTTGGGAAAAAAAAATAAATTATCTATTAACTAGACGGGGAAGGAAAGGAGAGAAAAAAGAAGATAGTAGGGAAGAAAAAGATAGTAGTAATTACTATCTTTTAAGTAGGTCTACTGAGTTCAGGAACCTTTCTCCGAGCAAGAATAGTTTGGACTTCTGATCCTATTTGTCATTATGAAATCTTGCAACAGTTTAGGAGAATTCAATGTTTCTTATTAATCTCCACTCTAAAAAGTGTGTGTCTACAAAGAGGGAAGAAGTCAAAGTTATTGCTTTGTCCTTACTGACTGGGCAAACTGCATGAAGTCCTTTCAATCAGTGGGTTCAAAACATTCTTTTTTTTTTTTAGTTCCAAGTCTCACTTTGGCAGAAGGAAAAGTCTTATACAGTAGTCACTAGCTTGTTATTATGGCTACAGGCTTCCACTTTTGATCTATCCGCTTGCTTTCAAAAGTGTCTGCCTCTTTTAATGATTAAAACTCAAGTTTCCCATTTCAAAGGTAATTATTTTTTTGAGAAGAGAAACTCCCATCTTCCTTTCAGGTAAATATGGTTATTTGGATTTCCAACAAATTTTATGATGGTCTTAAAAAACAATTGATGAAAGAACTTCAGTTTTCTTGAGCCTCTGGAAATGTCTGAAGCAATTATTGCATGATGCAGTATTTCCTAGTTTTGTATTGATATTCTGTAATCCACAGATTTCTGAAGTTTCTTCTGGTAATGGAGGACTTACTGTTTTTTCTTTTGAAAAGCCAGCAGCTCTTTACATCTGATGAAATCATTTCGTTATGTCTTCATAGAGTGTAGGGGTTAAGACACCTGGCTAGAATCTTGCAGACTGTTAGCTCTGGTCCCATCTTTGGCATGCTGAATGCCCTTGGAACAATCACACTCGCTCTCAGCCTAAGAAATAGCAAGCCACTTCCAAAAACATTGCTAAGAAAACTCCAGAGTCCAGATAGTCCAGGCAGTTGCCAGGAGTCAGCATTCACTAGAAGGGTTCCTCAGGGCACACACAAAAAGTCAATTAAAAAGTTGTTAAACAGAGAGCTATAAAGCATACAAACCCCTCCCCTCCAAAGATGATAAACACATTGCAAGACTGCAAATTTTGGTAGTTCCATTGTAAAGGAAGAAAAATTTGTTCTAGTTTATATGGAGTAGAGTAAATCAACCCTTGTTAGCTATTTATATAACCCTTCTCATTGGCAGTAAATTGAGCAGGAAGGAATGGTTTAGTGATTGGTTGTTGATATAATGGGATCAAATATGAAACTAACTTTATCCTGAAGGAGGAATTTGTGGGTCCCCAAGACATGAGATAAGAATTCACTATGCCAAAAGATCAGAGAAAAAAACCCCACTGGAAACATTTCATATTTCATCGAATTATCAGTTACTCTGTTTCCCCCAAAATAAGACACCCCCTGATAATAAGCCCAACCGGGCTTTTGAGTGCATGGCAATAAGGTCAAGTGCTTATTTCAGGGTTCAAAAAAATATAAGACAGGGTCTTATTTTCGGGGAAACACGGTACGTTTTCTCAAAATGTTGTAACAGTCTATTTCTGAATTCTGATTGCAAATTTAAATCATATCTTGTGGTTTTATATGATTTTTTGTTTGCTTTTAGCTGTGTCCTTGGCGCTTGCTTTAAATGGACTCTGCACGAACACTATTAAATTAATAGTGGGGAGGTAAGTCCTGAGTAAACTATTCAATATACAGCAAGGTAGCCATAATGATTCTGGATGAAAATGACAAACAAAAAACTTGTTTTGGAGAATACCCAAAATATCCTGAAAGACATTGGTTTGCTTTTCATCATTATTGCTACTGTCATAGTCTTGTAAAGGTGGAAAAACTAATGGGCGATTAAATGAAAAACTGGTATAATATCTTAATGGGTGTTGTAATGGGGAAAAAAAAACATGCAGGATTTTCTCCCTGTATGTAGGGAACAGAACAAAAAATTACACAAAAGTGTTTAGGTTAAAGCAACTTCCCTTTTGCTTTACTTGGAGAAATGAAATCTTGTATGGAAAAATGTAGAAGGAATTAATTTTAATTGCCTTCTCCCATAAACCCAGCTCGGTTGAAATCAGTTCATTGCGTGATACCAGTATGAATCCTCTGTTTTCTTCACCTTTTAAAAGTGCCTCGTGTGGTCTTTTCCACGAGATTGAGAAAGCCAATTAAGTTTTGAAAATGGTCTTCTCATATAAGCCCCTTGGTTTAACTCTAGGCGGTTAGAATTCTTAACTGCTTTCATGGTCAGAATGCTTTGGATGAAAATAACTAATTAATTTCCCTCAGCACTTTTTGCTCCGTGGAAAGCGGGGGGGGGGGGCTTCTCCATCAGAAACAGTCAGCTTAGTATAATGATCACTTGGAGGCTTTACTAACGACTGCTCTTCCATATCAAATGTTCCTGGGGTTTCTTGCAGGCCGCGTCCCGATTTCTTTTACCGCTGCTTTCCGGATGGAATAATGAACTCTGAAATGCACTGCACTGGTGATGCAAACGTTGTGTCAGAAGGGAGGAAAAGCTTTCCCAGCATCCACTCCTCCTGTAAGTTTTTGTTTTTCAGATGTTGTTCTTTGCCGTGATTTTTCCTGCTTCCAAGAGCATATACGTAGGAAAGAGAAGACATATAGGAGATAGACAGAGAGAGTGCCACCAAATTGAACATTGGAAGCACTGGATGGGGAAATGGCACAGGGTGGAAGGGCTTACACTCCTCTAACTGTCTGCTGGGTATGATTCTGTGGCTGTTTTTAAAAGTGAGTTAAACCCAGAAAAGCCAAAGACTCTGGGGATATTTGAAGGTGGAAAGAAAAAACATCAGTCTTTGGCCACAAATCTACTCCCCTGATTTAGAGTAAAAGTAGAAATATTGTGAATCATATATGGGTCTGGATGAGAAATAACAACTCTGAGCTCTGGTAGCGCAGCAGATTAAAGCACTGTTATTAACATCAGCTGCCTGCAATTACTGCAAGTTCAAATCTCACCAGGCTCAAGGTTGACTCAGCCTTCCATCCTTTCTAAGGTAGGTAAAATGAGGACCCAGATTGTGGGGGCAATAAACTGACTTTGTATAAATATACAAAAGTATGAAGGCTATTGCTTAACGCATTGTAAAGCTGCCCTGAGTCTTCAGAGAAGGGCGGCATATAAATCAAATTTTTAAAAAAACGAACAACAACTCAGAACTGGTTCTGTTGCTGGGGACTTTTCCATTTTAAGTGTTGGATAAAACTGATATGCATCCTGAGGGACCTATTAGATGTAATAGCCCTTTCTGGAAGACCAGGTAGAAGCCACGGTCAAGAGGCCTTTCACACATATTCATCTAGTATGCTAGTTATACCTATTTCTAGATCAGAAGCCTTCAGATGATTGGTACAGGTAATCCTTGATTTACAACAATTCATTTAGTGACTGTTCAAAGTTACAAGGGCATTAAAAAAAGTGACTTATAACCAGGGGTGAAATGCTCCTGGTTCGGACGGTAGAGATGGCAGTGGGTGGTTCGGAGAACCAGTAGCAAAAATCCCTACGCCCCCCCCCCCCCCACCATGCTCAGCTGAGCTGCACGATCATCAGGGGCTTTTTTTTTTTTTACTTTTTAAAGCATTTTTTTCTACAACTTCTTCCGCCGAAAAAATGCTTTTAAAAGTAAAAAAAAAAGCCTCTGATGATCACGCGGCTCAGCTGGGATCATCAGAGCCTTTTCAAAGCATTTTTTAAACCACCTCTTCCGCTGATGAGGTTGCAGAAAAAAATGCTTTTAAAGTCTCTCTGACGATCCCAGCTGAGTTGCCTGATCGTCAGAGAGACTTTTCAAAGCATTTTTTTCTGCAACCTCTTCAGCAGAAGAGGTGGTTTAAAAAATGCTTTGAAAAGGCTCTGACGATACCATCTGTGTTCCTGATCTGCAGACGCTTTTCAAAGCATTTTTTTGCATTTACAGAAAAAATGCTTTGAAAAGTTAAAAGAAAAAAAAAAAGGTGCCCACGCTCACCCAGTCACATTACCCCCCAAGCCACGCCCACAAAACCGGTAGTAACAAATTTTACATTTCACTTCTGCTTATGACCATTTTTCACAATTATGACCATTGCACCATCCCCATGGTCATGTGATCAAAATTCAGATGCTTGGCCACTGGCTCACCTTTATGACAGTTGCAGTGTCCCAGGTCATGTGATCACCTCTTGTGACTTTCCGACAAGCAAAATCAATGGGGAAGCCAGATTCATTTAACAACTGTATTACTAACTTAGCAACTGCCGTGATTCACTTAACAACTCTGACAAGAAAGATTGTAAAATGGGGCAGAACTCACTTAACAAATGTCTCGCTTAGCAACAGAAATTTTGGGCTCAATTGTGGTTATAAGTTGAGGACTACCTATAGTTGTTTTGATCCCCTCTGCTGTTTCTCAGTGATTTGTTGTTTCTTGATTTTCAAGTGGAAGTTGCCCTGAGTCATTTGGAATCAGGCAGTCTATAAACAAAAGAATTTACACCTGCAATAATTCTAATGCTGAAATGTTTTCCTAGGCCTTGTTTAGTATCATTTTTGCTATTAAGTCTTTTTAAATCGCTAAACATTGTTGGTCAGTTGCAATGAATACAATGTATCCCAGGTTGTGCAGGGTTTTTATTATATGGGTACACTTTCACAGAATTCCTCCCCATTCCAAAGAATCTGCCTTTGAAGGATAACTTTTACGGTAACAGAAGAGGAATTTAATTAAATAATTGGGAAAAATTATGTCAAGTACCTGCAGTTTAATTTCAATTGATTTGAATGTTTTTATTTGAAGTCATAAAATATGTGTCAAAGATGCGATCATTGCTATTCTTGACGGGAAAAGATATATTAAGAACTACAGTAATATATGTATATTATTCTATTTATGAATGTATCTATGCACATACATGTACAGTATGCACACCAGTGGTGAAATCTGTCCGGATCTATCCGGCTTGCGTGAACCGGTAGCGCCGGTGGCAGGAGTCTGCCTACCCACCGGAATGTCATTACGTCTCATTTTTTACCCTCTGCGCATGAGCAAAGGAGGCTCTGTGTATGCGCAGAAGAGGTGCACATGCATGTAGAGCGCGTGTGCTCCCGCATGCTCCCGTTCCCAAATCAGTTACGAAGGTTAGTGGATTTTACTGCTGATATACACACACACACACAAACACGTGATAACACTGTAAGCAAATGTCTAGGTTATGTATATTATATATGACAAATTATAAATTAAACAAATGCAAATGAATATCAGTACTGCATGTGTGATGCCATACGGCTTTTTAAAAAAGTCAGTTTTCTAAACGTATTGCATATAAATGAGTAATAATCCACTTTTCAGAACGAAGTAAAACAGGATCATTGTTATTGAGATGGCTGCTATCCAGATTTACCAAAGGTTCTGGGTAAATTCTTTTAAATTCTCGGAACAAGTTGTCTCTCTCTGCCACTGTCCACTTTGTTCTGATTTTCCCCACCAACAAATTATTGGCAGATTAACAAACAAACAAACAAAAAATCACCATCACACAAAATTGTATAAAACTGAGTCTGGTTCATCTTTTTGCAGTCCTAAATGCACATGTGAAAAATTAAGTAACACAATTTAATTTCTTTTTCAGTGAATAAGGTTGCTTTGCAATGGTTGAGTTATACATGTGTGTGTGTGTGTGTGTGTGTGTGCATATGTGTGTATACTGTATGTATATGTGCGTATATGTATATGTGTGTATATGTATATGTATGTGTATGTTTATGTATGTATATACATATGTACATGTACATGTACATGTATACTCAAATGAAGTGATCTTAAATGGACTCCAGAGGATGGTAGAGGACAGGAAGGCCTGGAGGAACGTTGTCCATGGGGTTGCCATGGGTCGGACACGACTTTGCAACTAACAACAACAAAATCAAATGAAGAAGTAAACTCTCTGCATTATATTATGACAAGGTGTAAAAGCACAATGTGACGTTATCCTAGGGAGCCCTATTTGCAAATCCTCTTTACATTAAACTAGAGATTTGGAGAAAGACATTGAAAGTTCCCCTTCTCTCCACGTTGCTCCGTCATGAACCTTAAACAATGACCTTTCTTCTTACTGGACTTGCTCAAGATCAATAATGATTTTCGATTGCTGCTAATGAGATCAGGTAGTTAGCAAAATCAGAGAGGTCGTGCCCTCTGTTGTACGGTAGGGGAAAATTGACATAATTCCTGATCACGTCGATCATCTGGCCAGTTTAAAAGAGCGTAAGACTCCTCAAAACTGCACAGCTGCACTTAATTTTTGCCTCCAAAGGCAACCCATGGACTCTACCTCCCTCTCAATTAAAGAACACTATATCCTTTGTGCAATATTTTTTAAAAAACAGTTTGTTGCTGCTGTTGTTTTTTCCTTTCCTTGCTTTAGAAAATGCATTAGAAAAATCTAGTTAGTTGTCTCACAAAAGAATAAAAGTTGCTATCATTCACGATCCATTTCTTAAATGAGTTAAAACAGCCGGCTGCAGTTTTAAGCTTGGTTATTGTTCTCTCAAGTTGGAAGATAGGAAACATCTAATATGTAACAATTGTCTTTTTACTGTACTGTCAAGGAAACTTTTAAGAAGAGGAATTGAAAGGATACATCTTTTGTGCATTCGTTGTCAGTTAAGTAACTGCAGTGTGAAGCTGTATTTTCTAAGTAGTGGTTGCTAATATGTTTGATAAATTTTCGTGAAACAGTGCATAGTATTTAACTCCTTAGTCCTTTTTTCTGCAAGTTATCCCAAATATTATTGTCAACATAGGGTAATTAATAGTTCGATTGTCCACTTATACATCTTCACCCGGCAGAAGAATCAATTTTTTCTTCTTTTTGTTGATTGAGAGACACATCTATCTATTAACTGAATACAGATGATTATAGAATTCCTTCCTTTCCTTCTGTTCTTTACTTCTTGGAGAAGATAGTAAGTCATTCCTGCCTAAAAAAATTTTAGGAACAAAAAACTTGCTTCTTAAGGGTAAAAGTTGCTGAATAGTTGATACAGATTTATAGTCCAGCTATTTTTAATATTTTAAGACATACAAAATTGTGTTCTTCTTCCATTGTATTAATGAGAATTGTGCTAGCTTATTGTCTAATAAACCACATTCTGATCAACCAAATGGTAAATGGGCTACAGGATGAAGACCTGCAATAAATCACGCCATTTATTCTTGGCACCAGTTCACAGTAATTTTTTTTTTTTGCAGGCTAATTATGACAGTATTAAACTGCACTCTGTTTTATTTTGTCAGCCTGTTCCTGTCTTCTTGCCTGCCTGAGAAAATACTGTCATTCCTGTAATTTTATACCCTCTTTTTTTTATATATATTGCTCAAATGAGCAGGAAGACAATTAGCAGACTACACATGAAATAAAGTAGTGAACAACAGCTGACAAAAGTGTGCAAAGCATGACAAAAGACCTCATTTTATACTGTCAGTCACTTCACAGTTGCTGGTATCAGTCCTGTTGGCTGTAAAAAATTAC